AAAGAGAAAATGTTTATTTTGATTTTTCCTTAGGGAACGCTGAATTACCGGCTATTTTTCATTTGGGCAGAGACTGATGCACGCTCATCTTCTGTTTGATATGTGAGTATGTGTACAAGAAAAGGAAGTATCAAATGTTTACAATTTAAAAAAACCTCTGGTATAAGGTCTCGGATTGGTACAGGACCAGCTGATTGGACCCAGATTTATCAAGCGTTTAAATCACAAATATTAACCATTCTGAAGAGTTGCGAAATCTGAGTTTAGAAACAACCGTATGCTCATGTCTATGTCTAAAATAAGAAAGTAATTTTAGGAAAATAAAATAAATCCATACATTATGATAGAATTCGTGTATCAGATACTTCAGTTACACAGAAAGATACATCTGAAATGACGATATATATATATATATATATATAAATTGGAATCGGTTTTACGATCAGACCGCCTGTGAAATTCTGCACGACACTCAGAGTTATAGGTAATAAAAAAGGAGCAGTTCTGGATCAACTAACAATGAAAAACAGAGGAAGAAAAAGAGCCCTTACCAATATGCTTTTGACACACAGCGCCAAAAAACTTGGCTGCAGTGTCGTACTACCACAATGAAAATCTGAACAATACATTTTCTCCTCAGTCTTTGGGGCTATAAACTGGATTGTTTATTATCCATCAGTCAGGTTAGAATAGGGTCACAAAGATTTCTGTAATCAATTCATTGCTTTGTGGTAAAAGCAATGGTTGTTGCACTGTTTAGTGCAGGGAACATGGCTTTAATTAAAGTCAAGGCTGTCATTTATTGGTGAGTGTCAAAAAATATGTATGCTAGGTCAAGCAGTCCTTTCTCGCCAATCAACTAAATTTATTGATTTCTACAGACACATCCAAATCAGCCTAGATTTCTTTGGTCGCTTCTACCTTCTCTGTGATCATCTGTATGCTTAATTTGTTTTTGTGAATGGTGATCTTACATGCAAACAAGTTCTTAAAATGTTGAGCCTATTTTTAGGGTGAGATGGGAGTAACAATAAACTTAATTTCTCTAAAACATCTACGTTTAGTGAAAGTGGTCACTTTGTACTCATTTGATGTTTGGCAAAGTTATATTGGACTCCTTTTGTTCAGCAATATTGCCGGAAAAATGTAACGATATTATGTAAGCAAATCATCCTTTACAAAGCTGAACAGCAGTTTATCATGAAATTAAAATGTCTGAAATAGTAAGCAATTCGTGCTTCAAAGAAAATGAAATAATTTGGAGATACAAACTGAGAGAATATAATACCAATTTATTATGATCATGCGTCAGTATTTTTTGAGTAAACCTTTATTTATTGAGAAATTCTGCTTTAAAATTTAGCCTCCTTTTATCACAGGCATATAAAACTAAGTCCGAATTCTATCCTTACATTAAAGTTAAGCGTGTTTATTACTGTAGAACATGCATGACGTTGTGTTCCACCTTCAAAACAGTTCTACGGTCGAAAATAATTGCAAAAGTCCAAATCCTTTAAATTAAGCGCGAAAGGTTCTAGATTTAATAATAACTTTATCATGAAACGGAATGACAGATTGTAGTTGAATCCTTAAAAGAGAATATATAGACAACTTGCACTGCACCTAAGACTAAATAATAGCATAAAGAGTAGACTAGAAAACCTGTCATACCTGGAATTTCTCATCAGTCTTAACCTCCAATATGATATGTAGGATTTAAAGATTACTAACTGAAACGGTAATTGAATATTTGATGCAGTTTAAATTTGTTGTTGGAAACATTCACCACTATTTACTGATTATTATTCACTATGTACTCAAAGATCTGATTTATATGTTCTTGATGGCTTAATATATTTCACAGTAATTCATAAGAATAATATTCTGCATTGAAGATACTGGACACTATTACTTTAATTCACATTTTTGGAATAAATTTTAGGTAAAACTTCTACCTTGTTTGCCACACAACTACAAAACAATCTTGTGATTTACTTAAAGCTCATTGTTTTACAAATAAGGCGTCACAATTAAACCTATGCGATGCAAAATATAGTCAAGATATCACATAGAGCTAATAAAAACTGGGGATCCCGGGCTTTTTATTCAGTGGCTTAGTGACAAGTAATTTAACATGGTTTGAATAGTTCATGTCGTTTATGATCTTCAAAGTGATTCGAAACACTCCTCTGATACTCCCTCCGCTTTAATTATACCATAGCCGATGTTCATCAGTGATGTTATCTAACATACACTGCTGCTAAATGAACAGAAGGATAATAATATTCGTTGGCAAAAAGCAATTAACTAATTTCTCTGCTTTCATTCTTGACTGATAATTCTACGCTATCGATACTCATCCCAGTAATCTGATGTAGGAGATGAATTCTTCAATAATTTTACTGAAACTGACAACTGCGGCGAAAAGCGAATCCAATTCACGCAAAAATATAATTTATTCAGCTACATCAAAAACAGACAAAAATATGTAAGTCTGTCACATATGTCTAACTTAAACATTCCAACTTTTGACTAAATTACCAGAATATAAAAAATTTTATAGTGAAGTAGTTAAAAAGCTGTTTCTTCCTAGCTATACAGCTGCGCACATTGGGTCTTACACCTAATCCTTACCTGCAGTGAATGTGTGAGGATGTAGTCAAAACTGATCAGTTATCAATAATCTTCTTCACTAGAGATCAAATATCTGCTGGAAAACAGATGCTTTGTCTGTATATTTTGAACCGTTTTTCCTCAGCAATTTCCTGTGAATATGTGGTTCTCTGAATCATGTCAAACACTGAACAACTAAAAAAATAGTGTTGGTTTATCAATACAGCAGTCGTTACTACCAAATTGAACATATCAGTAGAGAGGAAAGTAAACAGAGTTTAGAGTTACCTTATTTTGGAATAAGGAAATCCAGGTAATATAGGAAATGTGTCCGATTAAGTTGCATACCCGCTTAGCGATTTATAATTTTGGATGGTTAATTAAGTGCTATCGACTCCAGATTTAAAGCATACGCATTCCCTGCTTTGAAGTGACTCGGCTTTTGGATTTCAGCTAGTCCAGGTAGATTATTAATAAAATCAGACCAAAAGGACAAGATGGACTCTACGGCGGTTAAATCATTTTTATCAGCATAAAAACACTTCTGGGTGGTGTTTTTCAGTCATTCATATTAGTCAATCAAATACATACATCGTGTGGCATTTATGTTTACTTCTCATTTACATTTTCAAGCGGGTTGCATATAATAACCTGGATATTTGGAGTTTTCCACAAAACATTTGATGAGATTTCACTTCACTAATATGTGTGTCGGTGGCACAGCAGTTAGGACTCTAGCCGGTCATGCACATGGTCCGAAGTTCGATCCTTTGCCGACGCAAACCTGATATCTATGGTCGGCCTGCAAACTTTGGGCTACCGATATCGATGCTGAAAATTCCATACCTGTACCAAAAATACGGTGTGGAATCAAGCTGTAATAAAAAAAATACTTTGCAGATAATTAATGACATTCTACATTTACATAAACTTTGAATCAAATAACGGTTTTAAATCTCATTATTTGACCAGAAACTGAAATAGAAAATATCAGATAAGTTTAGACTGCAAGAATTGCCCTAAAATGCTTCATAGCACTGAACTCACAGTGAATGATTATTCATCACGCGATGTGCAGATAATTTGATGTTTGCTTTAAATAAAGAATCTAAAGTGGTTAAAAATAAATGAATACACTCAGTATTTGTGATGAGGATTGCATTTAAATATTATTTAATTGTTATATTCGCATTTCCCCGAGGACATTTCAAGGACATCATTAATGAGGATCATGTTTTGCTATGACTAACCCCAAAACTTTTTATCCAAATCAATCTCAATTTTGCTGACATTACCCATCAAAAAGTTATGACTCGTGATGGTTAACACATGTCGTAGCCAACTCAAAGAACACACGGACGTGGAAATGACTAAGAGTTCATCAAAAAATATCCGAAAACTGAATATAGGTTGCTTTAATTTTAACCACAGCGTATGGGTTTCTTCACTCGGAAATTAACTGGATAAAGTCTACCTGCAAAAACACTATGCGCTAAGGATTTAAGGTGTCTCATAATAAAAGATTATAATCCTAAAATTAATTTTTGTCACTTTCCTAACGAACTGACCATTTACTGAGACTTACAGACACTCCTTGTTACGTGTTGGCTACAGCAGCATTTTCCTGAGCTTCTGACCTTATCACGACTTTTGTATGAATTATAGCTAAATTCTAAAGTTACCAACTGTCTAGCAGGAATTAAATGAAATGAGCCATTTGGATAAATGAAATTAACTCGATTATGGACTTCACATATAATTGCGTTACAACGAATACCTGTTGATTTTTCCCCTAAATGAATTATTAAATTGTCGTTGTACGATTTGTTGACATATATTTCTATCAGTCTCATTTTTAGTATTATTACTAAGTGATATTCAGTCAACATAACACCGTGTCACATGATATGAAGTTGAATATAGCAGCTGATACTATCTTTTCTGAAATATGATTGTCAGTCATCGATAATCTCGTCAATAATGCTACCATTTCGGTATATCGCTTTAAAAGACATCACTCGCAAGGACTTCAGAAGGCTTGACAAAAAAGAACGAATTCGGTAACTCAAAATAGTGAACACAATAGCTGTACCGTTATGACATATATATATTTATTTATTTACAAAGATGTGTCACTGTATTAACATACTATATAGCAACCAATTTAAAAGAAAACAGATTAAGCGTGAATCATATAAAATAAGGAAAGGACAACATTTTTGTAAGTGTTCTGTTATGTGTTTTTTTTTTAATTTACGTTATGCCTGTTAACTGTTTGTTAAAACACGATTTCTTCAACGTTACATTTTGATTAACCTGCATAAATTTGATGTTTATACACAGAGAAACAAAAAGACCGAAGATTACTAAAACATGAAACCAGTTAGTTAGGCTAAATCAAAAAATTGAGCAATCTCATCGCTGCCATCTTCATTTGAACTCTCATGAAGTTTTTCTTTGGATGTGTTAGCATCAGTCCGTTGTAGTGCCTAGAAAACACAAATAAATATGTATCACAGAATAAAACGAAGCAAGATTTTATTTCACGTAGTTTGAATCATACAAAAGTGATGAGAATTTTGTATACAAAAAATGCATAATATGGGTAAACGTAAATATTTTCGTTCCATATACGTCTAAAACAGGAAGAAGGTGTCTCTCTTAAACATATCAAGTCATGTTCGTTTTACTCTAACCTTACAATGCTTATGTGAGAAGTAAAAAGACAGTTGTAGAAAAAAGTTTCTCCGATTTTTTCGATTGTACATCTGTGAATGTACAGAAAAGAGGTGAGAAAGTTTCAGAACTCTTTCCGGTCAGAGATCAAGAAATAATGAATGACAAGATGAAGTTACTGAATATAAAAGGGAATTAAAAACAATAATAAAAATAAACAAAAAGTCCGAATTAAAAATGTAAGTAGATATTAATGATTTTCTTGAGAAAATAGACTGTTCATGATAACCATGGTAATGACAAAGGTTGAATGTACTTCTTTTGGATACTCAGCATTGAACTAAATTTCATACGGTGGTCGAATGGTCGAATGCCAGCAGTAAAGTGTGTTTTATTGAGAGATTTTGAAAGCCACCTTCGGAGAATGTTCGCCTTACTTGTCCAAGAGCCTTGTTTAGTTTTAGGTTTTTGTCTAGGAGTCTGGGACTGAAGTGATTTTCTGTTAAGGTTCTTTTGAAGTTTTGCAGCGCCTCGTATACGGAATTTTCGGTGCATATTTTCCTGATCCCTAAGTAAAGTAAATGGATGAGGTTCCTCTTCCTGTTTAGAAAGACAGTACTTTGAAAAATGATAAACTGTACGTCCCCTGTAGGCTATTTGTAAATAGATCTACTTAGTAAGTTATCATCTTTTCTCGGCAGTTAAACAACAGTGAAATTGAACGTTGAGTCAGATTCTAACTACAGAGTCGAGCAGATATTTGAGTGGGGTTCACCGAAGTTTGGGAGCAAGTTTTAGAGATTCACCTTGTCATCAAAAACACTGAAACCATGTATGATGTATCTCCTAGTGAGATGAAGCTTATTGAAGGTTGCTGATAAGACAATTTCCTTCTGGCTTGCCATAAAAGTCAGTTAAGAGGGATTCTACGGAGGAACAGATTGCCACACCATCTATTTCGTTGTAGAACCTGAAGTACACGTTGACGATAAGTCGGAGTAAGAGATTTTTCAGGTAGTGAATCAGTATTCAAGCATTTACATTGTTGAATTGGATGAAATCACAAATAAAAACAGGTAATTTATGTCAGTGGAATTTCTATGAAAAGAGAAACGACGTCTAAGAAAACCATTCTTTTATACACCGCAATGATATTTTAGTTGAATCTGCACAACCAGAAGTGTGTTGGAGATTGGATCTCGATAACTCCTGTACTGGTTTAAGAATCTATACTAATTACATCTTAATTGAATGATATGGAGACATTTTTTATATCCAGTATTGGGTAAAATGAAACATCGTGCCTGTGTACCTTAGGTAAGTCCTACTTGCACAGTGTTGTAGAACGAGATAGAAAACATCGTCTATAGTTTTTTGCAAGAAGATGTTATTTGTAGGCCAGCAGAGTCTTTGTATAATCTCTAATATGCCGATTTTAATATTATTTTGTAAATTACTTTTATGATTAATTGATATGTCTTGTTTCTGTTGCTTTATTTAAAGAAGTGAACGATATTTTACTTCGCGAAATAATTCCCATGATTGCAGCATTCCCAGACAGTTCTTTTTTTTCAAAATGCAGCAGACTGCTTTTATTTGATTATAATCTAGTGCTACTGAATTTTAGTAATGAAAGTGAGACTTAATGCAACATTATACAGAAACGTCCCCTTAAGAGTGAATTCCTCACCACATAATCTCCCATATTTCTGCAAATAACATGAACTAAAGGAAAGACTAAATGTATTTCAACACTAGTAACTGCTGTAAGTAGATACTTTTAGGAAGTCAATATAAATAACTACAGATTTATTAGGGCAAACTGACAGGCTAGTATTTAGACTTTAACCATGACTGTATGTTCAAATAACGGCAAATATTCACAAAATACTTAATATTTGAAATAATTCGACAAGAAATTACTTTGTTTAGCTGAAATAAATATCATGAATAGTAAACGTATTCTACATTATGCTGCCTGAGTTCATGGCTTTTTCAAAGTAGGGTGAGACATCATTACCATGCAACCTGACTTACAACAGTTTGTTATTTGGCGCTGATTCGTGGTAAAATATCCTCTCTAATTTGATGCAAAACTTACATATTAGCTGTTTTATCCCACAAAACTCTGTCACTTCTGATTGCATTGCTTTTAATTCCTTCCTACTTCTTTCTCTTATTTTCCACCTGACGTACACATATGATATGTGGCATTTTGTATGACTGAAAATTGATAATGGGTTCTACGTAGATAAGTGAGAGGTAACTTTGGTTTGACTAAATTAATCAGTTGGCAACACAAGTGTGTGGAAACAATTCGGTCAGCAGTCATGATCTTCGAAAGATTAGATATTGACATATCCAAATGGTATTATTAAAAAGCAAATTTTGACAACTGGTGAGCAAAAAGAAAGCTGAAAACGAGAACTACTACTATCTGTACGTCCACTTAAATTGAGGAACCGATGGATATTTGATATATTTCACAATTAATTTCCAAATCAAAATCAATCATCACCTATAATGCAATTGAAGCCATGTGCTTTAGTTACCTAGTGATACACTAATTTCAGATCACATTCAGACATTTTCTAAACAGTTGACAAAATAAAATTCTTGATACCTGATAGATAATTTTACAAAACACTAAAATCATGCTTACTAACATTTATCGGGTAGCTAGTGGTCACTTGACCTCTGAGTGAACAACTAACCTAATAGAGGAATACAAATGCTCGTTGAAAGTCAAATATGAAATTTTTAATCGCAATGGAACTCAACATTGATCTAAACCGTAGCATACATGTGTGTTGCCCAAATTAATTTCAGTGATTTGTCTGTTTTGTTCTTCAACATTCTGTTTCACTTCAGTTTGATTTGTTTCTTGTCTCTTGCCACCACTATTGTTCCCGTCACCGTTTTGCAGTTTATTCGTATTCAAATTCTCTCTGTTCTCTTTAACAATTATATTTTCTGATGTTTCGTTTTGAAAAGTTACTGCATAATTTCTAGGGTCTTGATTATGTTTGCTCTGTTGATTGTTGTTTCTAATAAAGCAAAAAACAAGGCAAAGCAGCGAAACTTGACGAAAACAAACAACCAGACAATTAAGCACACGTTAACGTACCTCTTACAGTAGAAACACATTGAAAATGGTTAGTGAGCGAGTGTTATACTACGTATATGATATTCAACTAGAAGATTTGTGGTTTCTATAACTAATGACAAAGTTGATGGTATTGTGGCATAATATTACATAATGTAGTAGAAAAATACCATAGCAAGAGAACATCGCTATGGACAGATTAACTTTTTAAAATTCAGGACAATGGGTAATCCAGTTAGTTTATCATAACTCTTAAAAATTGGCAAAATGAAATGAACAAAAACTGAAGGTAATGTTAGAAGAGTAGAAGTCGAAAGACTGTGGAAGAAATATCGGGAGACCAGTGTTGATTATCTGGAGGATGACAAATTTTTATGTGAATCTATACTATTTCCCTTTGAAGAGACTGACTTATGCATGTCATGATAGCATTTAGTAAGACCAAATTTGCTTACGTATGCAAGCGACCCGTGTAACAGTGTCACACTGTATTTTAACCTACTCCTTCCAACACTATCCGTTGGTGTGTTTGCAGCTACTGATCAAGGACTAAAATGAACACATCCCAAAACAGCTGCAAAATGCTTTACATAATTTAAAGATTTCCATTCAAGTTACACAGCAGACAGCAAAAGCTTCAGTATTAACGCACGGATAGACGCATTTTCGAAAGTTATGACATTTTATAGCAATAGGAACATTTGAGTAAATTATTATTATTATTGTATCCTTTAGTTCCTAGAGGAACATAGGGCTTCAGCTGCGCACCTCCATTGACTTCGGTTTTCTGACAACTTTTTCACCCTGCTCCAGGTCTGTCCACATGCTTTCATCTCCTCCTCGTATGATCTCCTCCAAGTCACCCTTGGACGAACAACTCGCCGCCTCCCTTTCGGGTTCCATTCGAGGGCTTGTCTAATGATGTCACTTGATGGTTTCCTCAGCGTATGGCCAATCCATCTCCATTTCTTTCTGCCTATTTGTTTCACAATCGGTTCCTGATTGGTTCGCTCCCAGAGATCCCTGTTGCTGATCTTTTCTGGCCGGCCATCTGATCTTGAGTATTGAGCGGAGACAGCTGTTAATGAAGGTTTGGAGTTTGTTTGAGATGCTCTTTATGACTCGCCAAGTCTGTGATCCGTATAGTAGCACTGACTGGCTTCACATTGGAGTTGAGAATCCGGATCTTATTTTTGATGCTGAGTGCTGTTGACCTCCACACAGATTTGAGAGTAATGAAAGCTTGTCTTGCTTTTCCGATTATTAGACAATGCCAAAAGCTTATGTCTTCTATATCTATCTAATTGAAAACAATATTGTTCGCTTATATGTCTTGTTCTAATATTATAAATGGGAATATTTAAAGATTCTATATATTTAATAAGTGACTACTGAAGTCAGTAATGAGTAGACGCGATTGTCTTTACAAATATTTGCATAGAAATTGTATGTCATTTCAAAGAACATTTTCAAATTTTTCGTAGAAATATTCAATATTTGTGGAAAAAAAATCTAATATGTTAGATCTTCAAGTCACCAAAAAACAAACGAACATTTCTGTTTGACACCCATCTTCCTTTACAGGCCTTTTCTGATGCTTCTGGAGCTCAGCTTCTTGCTCTTTCATCTTCTTTCTGATTGAAAAGTGATATAAAGAAATGTCATTGTTAGATATTTTGTTCAGGACTAAATTTTTCAAGTCAAATTATAAAACATATACATATATAAATGCAGACCTCCTGGAGTTCACCAGGAATTTGCGTAACATTGTCAGTAACCAATGAACCTGCTCCGTCATATAGTGGTTTTAGCATAAGAAGCGCCAACATAATATCTTAAGACTTAACGGAAAAAAACTTTTTCACTGTTGAAGACCAAGACACCTCTCAAAACACGTTTAGCTTTTAGGAAAATACATAGTCTTGTAACTATATCTAGGTACATCATGCACTTTGTGAACTTTATGCACTTCAAGCTTCATAAATGAGTACTGTATTAAAAATACATAAGTGAAATGTATACCTTCTATCGGTGTTTAGTTTTTATAATTTATCAAAAAGTGGAGTTTAGGTATAGTTTTAAGTGACCTTCATTAGATCACGTCAACAAGAAAGTGACCAAACGTTTTATCTGTTTCTCAGTAAAAGAGTCATTTTCGTTTGCAATATGCTAAAATTAATGTATTACTGATGAACAGGAGGGATTTCAAACTTCCGGTACATAGATAAGCACAACAGTTTTCGCACTTAGTAATACCTTCACTAAATTACCATTACACTCCTTGAATTCGCCACGAATTAGGATTCCGACGAATTGGATCGGATCCCAGTGGCATAATGGTATACGAGCTCGTCTTGTAACCAGAAGATCCTGGGTTCGAATTCCAGTGGGTGCGTACTGCTGAAGAGTTTCAAACTAGGAGGAAACAGCTGTCCAGTACTCCCAGGTTTTCCAATGGTTTTCTAACTAATGTCAAATCATGATGAAATCCTGTAACCAAAAAAATATTAATTTGTTATACTCTAGTAGTCCCATGGGAGTTCATAATCCGGCATAAACTGTGGTTACATAACATTGATTATGTGTGCACACCACAGTAGTAAGTACAATGGATACGAGCTAGTGATCCAAGAGTTGGAAGGGAAATTCCCAAACCATCAGGTTGAACGTATATATATATATATATATATATATATATATATATATATATATATATATATATATATATATATATATATATATATATATATGATAAATTTCCCTAGATCGTATGTGTATGGGGAAGTATTTAGTATCTAATACTACAATGAAACTGATCCAGCCTACTCAGTTAACGAATACTTCATCTGGGGCAACGTAAATAGTCTTTTATGAAATCAGTATGATTTAAAAATTCATTAAATCTCATATTTACAACTTACTGGATTACTTCATACTGGCTCTTTAGTTTTTCATTGGCGTCTGATAAGGTTTTATTTAACTGCTGTAAATTTACTATTTGAGTTTTCGCAGTGGCCAATTCTTCTACTGTTTTCTCATCTTGTCGAACAATAACTGATACTTTTGGCGTTTCATTTTTCACCTTTTCAGATACTAATAAAAAGTTAGATATTTTAATTATCCTCAGATATTAGATTTCCCTAACTAAAATTAACTTCATCACAAAAGTCATCATCTAATTATTATATTCTTGTGGATAATTCTTCATTATTGGCAGCAACGTAGACATTGGAAGCTAGGATGTAGTAAGCAGAAGCTTCATCCTAGCCGAAGTCAGACTATGCATAGAAAATCCGTTTGTTCGCGAAATGAATTTCAGTGACCAGAACTTTCTACATCAAGCAGTTTCTGTTAGACAGTCATTTGAAGAAAGACTACTTATGGGTAGCTGTAATAACTTTTAGAGTGCCGCATTCAGAAGATATGTAAGTTGAACATAACTTTATGATAAGTCAGTAATAATTAGAGGAATTTTGACTTCGTAAAATTACTGTATAGAGGATAGACTAAGTTAACATAAAACTTCACTATAGATAAGATTTTACTTTGATAAATCACACAGTGTTATCTATAATGGAGTTATACTCTACCACATTGCCCAAGGTTTATACTTATATCAATAAGATGAAACTTCCCTGAATATTTGCAAGTAATTTTTAACCCTATTTGATTATAAATACTGAGACGATACTAAATGATAAATGTTAATGAGCTTTACTCAACCTAGAATAATTAGAGGAAGATTACTGAGAGTTTCAAGAATCTAAAAAATGACAAGAATTTAATACGTCTGGGCCATTACAAGTATTTTCAACTTATTTTACTAACATTCTCCATTTGTAATGCATACGTAAGTCAGTCGAACTGCCTCTGTAAATGTTCTGCCCGACATTTCAGCAGTCTCTACTGAAAGGTTATTAAAGTTTTATCCTTCTCGGAGACCATTCCACTAATTACATGTCTCCCTAATGAGCCTAAACAGTTGACCTAATTCTGATGCCCTTTGCATTTCCTTAGCTTTCGTCGTTTACTTCTGTTTGTAATAATTTTGAAGACCTTAAGTCAGCTTACATTTGAGAAGTATTCGCTTCTTGTCATATTAACGGCCTGACAAGATGAGCCTTCTTTTATCAGTCAGTTTGCATAAAACCGTAAAATCCATTGGCATGTACTGGCCTTTGTTTCTGTAGCAAACTGAGTATGATGCAAGGCCACCTCAGGACGAGTGCTGATGTCGACACAGATACAGGTGCATTTACCTCATTTTTAAATACAGATCTCGTGTTCTCATCAAGGATTCAGACTTTGCAGTTATTTTTTCTATGTCAATTTAGTCACCGGTGTAATCACATACAAACCATTTTATGATCAGAGTCCCCGGGTTCCCTCATTCTATAACTTTTATCTGAGTGGCCTACTTGTGTCTGTCGTCGGCCTGATTTAGGCAGTAAGACAATGTCTCTTTATGTTTGGATTTAATCCCTTCGAGAAAAAGACATTTATCTGAAGAAAAGTGTGAGACACGATTACTACTGTCGTTTCGTCAAGATAGAACAACGTCAATATACTTTTCCCGATAATTCAGCTTCCACACTTGAGCATGAAAATCACCTGTTAAAATAACTATACCTGAGTATTTTGATGAAACTCATTCTTTACTTTGCCCAAACTGCAGTCGGTTTTTATGTAAGATCAGATTACGCGGAAAAATCGAAGAGTATTTTACGTTTCACGGATTAGTTTAACCGAATACTACGTATACAGCTGAGATTTTGTTGAATGACCAGTCTTATTATGTCAAGCTTAGTAAGTGACCACGATTACCGTTTTACTGACTCAAGTCACTAGAAATGGCCACCTAGTTTAGAGAAGATAAAGCAACCGTCTGGGAATAGTGTTAGTAAAATAATAGCAAGGGGATGAAGGCGGGCATTGAACAGAGAAATTTTGCGTGCATGTAGGCGCGTGGATGGTTACTACATCCCAGATGCTCAAATCAAAGTTGATTTCTCCCTGGATTTATCAAAATAGGGAAAGCATTATTGCTGCAAGACCGCATAATCTAGGAGGTAACTGCTCTAGGCTGGTCTCATCAAGGCAGGTTACTCATCTGATTATATTACCAAAAAAGGTATTAATTATTATCCTTCTTATTTTTAAATCCTTTATTATTTCGTATGTTGTAACTGGCCACTTATTCTCTTCATTTTTATATAAACTAAACTGACAAGTAATTGTGTGATCAGATTGTTCGAAATGTACTTCGTAAATACATCATATCTTTCAGGTAGCTCCGTTTTCTAATAATATAATTCAGAATTATTAAAAAGAATTACAGTTTTAAACTTTTGAACTTCTTAAGGCCATTATAACACCTATACATACTGTTTTTCGCTTCTATCTAACGTTTAAAGTCGGGAAATTGTTATGCGAGAGCGTTATACAAAAAACAGCTGATTTACTAAATGTTTTAAATTCAGGAACAAAAGCCAACCTACCAGTACTTTCAATAATAGTTGCAACCAAATGACCATCTGAAGATTTTGTGCATTTTCTGATCTTTTGAGATTAAAATATAAAAAAGCATAGATAATAAGTGCAGCTCAGACATACCTGAGAGCTGTGCTCATCATCTTCAGGTGCACGATAAGGATCTGAAACCGAAAATCAAAAATGTTACTGAGTAAAATATCAGTAGGTGAATTCCCTTTCAAGGAAAATCTAATCATTAAATGGATGAGTCAAGAGACTCACTGACGAATGAGATCCTCAGGTGCCTCATTTATTTGAGTGGTAAGAATTGAAAAGATTTCACAACACTCCTCACCTGAACTAAACATTCAGATAGCCAAAACTTGTTTCATTTATGTATATATATATATATATATATATATATATATACATTAAATATCAGAAATTCAAAAGTAGTAACTCTACACAGCCGAATTTAAACTCACTGATATCTTCCTTCAAGTCGCTTGATGACAAACATTTGTATAATTTCTGAATTTTGCTGACTAAACAGTGATTCTTTGCTATTAATTCCTGCTTCTGCTGGTCCAGTTCTTTGATCACTTTTCCCAGTGTTCGTATTTGAGTATTGACTTCATTGTTTTCAGAGGTAGAACTCCTTCTTCTTGGCTTTGTAAATGGTTTCTCTTTCACTTGACACTGTTCTGATGACATAATATGGATCTTCTCTTTTAACCGTCTGATTTCTGTGTATGCAGTCTCAAGCTGTATTCTCAACTCTTCAGTTCGTGTGAATTTCATGTCCGTTACCAAACGACTTTGGAAAAAGCATGAAACCAATACAAGAAAAAGACTTACACAGCGAATAAAGTTTTCTTTTCGACAATTCATTTATATGAGATAATAAAAAGAAGCGAAATTATAGTAAGAACATTACTCTGGCCACGGTATGGCGAGTGAATTGATGTAACACTTTTGAATGCAGAGGTCCGGTTTCAGTTCCCGAATAGCTAATGCTTCAGTTATGTACAGATGGCGTATGCGAAGTCCTTTTGTATGATATTGAAGGACTCTGTGTTGCAATGTAACAATACAGAACTTTGGAACAAGCTAGTGCCTCCAACCGGACTTCTATGAAAGCAAGCCATTTGTTGGTGATATTCATCACTTCACTATATTTGATAGAGAGGTTTGAAATGGTGTGGTTTAGTCAAACTGTTTTATTCCAATACACAATGCTTGGGCTGGTTCAGCTGATTTAGTAATAGTCAGAAGCTGACCAAAACGTTAGCTGCTTCCTTACTAACAACTGGCTTCATAGTATGAAGTGGTCACACGTTCGTTGATCTTATCATTTCACGAATTCACGTTCAATTTTCTTATTTTTTTAGAGAACAGCCTGTTGTTTCTACATTTGGAGATGCATATTTATCGGACACACTTTATGCTCCCGCTTCAACCAGTTCCACGGAAGCAAGTAGATAGTCTCAAAGAAGCAGTTCATCCTTTACACATCTTTGAGCCAATCAATAACTAAAGAACACCCGGAGTCAAGCAGAAAAGGTTTCATCCAACGATTTACACATCTGATTACAGCTTCTATAGCAAAATATGAGCACACTCCAGACATAGAATGTGAACACGAACCCATCACGTGCCCGATTCCGATCAACTCTAGTTATTCTGTTTAACTAAAATCGTTCTTCAGGGTAATCCATACTCTACAAGGACCTCTGACTCACTAACTAGATATGACATTCCCTTGTGGTTCACTGATGGATGCAAAAGTAGGATGCAACAAACAAATGAGTCAATACCATCTATAATCTTCAGTAGCTCTAGTTTTACCCTGGTTCTAATCATCATAACTTACCTGTACTCAGAATCCTTCTCTTGCAGTTGGGTTTCCAGTTTGAAAAGTTTTTGATGAAGTGACCGAATATTTCTCAACAAGCTTTGTTTGCTACCATGTGCACTTTGCTTTACATTCAAATCCTATCGTAAGCGAGAAATGTTGGTCATAGCATTTTCTTACCTCTGCAGGATTATTAAGTTTCACAAGCTCACCCTCCTTTTTAGACAAATTTTCTTTAAAAAGACGACATTGAACATTCAGTTCTTTATTTTGTGCAGTCAGCAAAGCGATTTTCTACAAAGGAACACAAATTATTTTCCTGTTGTACACAATAACTAGTTTAATGTTAAGACCAAAAAACGCTTGAGCTTCCAAGGTATGAGGGCAGATTACAGAAAACTACAGACCTACGACAGATACCTTCTGGTATATACTATCTGTCGTGACTACCGTTTGCAGAATTTTTAACTGCTGAAGTGACCTTCAGAGGAAGATCTGTGCTTCATATTTGTAAAATATATCAGAACCCAGAACGGTAAATTAATTAGTGACCTACCTTAGGCGCAAAACCCTCTGGATAGATTCATAAACTTCTTTACATCACTGTCATTTCCCCACTCTTCCTCTAAAAGGTGTTGGAAATCCTCTCCTTTCATACTAGTGGAAAGAAACAAGGAAGATGTAACCTTTCCTAACGCTAATAGCTAAGAGTGTTAAATTTTGGCTTATTTTTTAGGTCAATATGTTATTGCTAACATCACTATCATCACTAAAAGTTAAATAATTAGTGCCCAAAGCTAGTGATGAATATGGAGAGATCTAATATGCATCAAGATGAAAACCCGTCTTCTTTCCAAATAAGGATATATGGATTGGGGGGAGGGAAATGTTTTATCATGAACACAGATGCTCTTACAAACGCTTTTATCAGTCGGCCATATCTAATTAATAAGAAAGTGTTTGCCGTTTCCAAGTTTTAATTGATGAATTTAAATTATAATTTTACTTCATGAATAGACTAACCTATAAATTTGAACTAAACCAGTATTTCCGAAGTTTTGATAACTGAGAGGAACCAACTACGCAACAGTTTACTTATCACTAAGTCCATTTATTACGAGCTTATTTCTCTTACTAGTCAAGTGTTAGTGTGTACTTACACTACACCAACAATACAATGAGACTAGTTATAATAAAACCTTTAAAACTTCAAGACTTATATGACCAAGAATCTCTATTGCTTTCTGATAGCCCTTAGTATGACCGAAATTAAAAGAGCAGAGGCTAAAAGAACGTTTATTACTACTTTGCAATAAGTACACAGAAGACATGAATGTATGTCATCCGATAATTTGATTATCGGTAAAAACTAGGTCTCTGTATGAATCGCCAACAACTTATGCATCCGATTGAAATATCATGTTAAGGCTTTTAAAATTTTTAGTATTACATAAACAGTAAGGTAAATCCCAAAACCAGCAAATAAATATTAAAACCCAATCGAAAAGAGTTTACAAGGTCCAAATCCATAACATACTGAACTGGAAGAAGGAATACCAAATTCGTAGCTACAGCTACCAAGACATTTCGGATCTCTACTATTTCACTTTTTTATCCTAACTAATAGCACTAATATGGCTAATTTATGGGTCGGTATCCTTTAAAGAACTGAAATTTCACAGCAGATCGAAATAAGCTTCAGTGGATACCTCCAGCCACTACTGTACTGCAACAGTAAAGTATAAACTCCATGCCCATCATCTGTATTCATTTGATCTATCTATTTTGTATCTAACCATGACTTATGATTGCTCATATTTTACATATTTCTTGAATTTAACTATTGTCTCGCATATGCAAGCACTTTTAGAGAAATCGAAGGATATGCTTTCCGAAAACTAATGGTAAACTTCCACAACATTTTACTACTCCAGAGGAAAAATTGAAAGTAAAAGAAAAAAGCCGCTACTCAATACTATAATCTTTCCAACGAGATAAAATTCTGTTACACTATAAATTTTTCATTAAAGGCCTATGTGTTTTTAAGATGTATTAAATCTTGAGGTCAATGTAGCAGTTCACGCACATATCTGAATAGGAAAAATAGCAAACATGAATGATTAAAAATCACCTTGGGAAAATGGTCAAAAACACCGAATTTCTGCGAAGAGTAAGAAATATCTAATAGGTATTATCCTTAACAACATTTAAATGGGTCGCAGAGGAGTAAGGCGGATAGTTTTCGACTTATTTAGCTTCACTGAGGTTGTCAAACGGCTTCGCCGATTTCAATCACTCTAACTCACTCGGCTCTAAAGCTTGTTTATTTTTTCACGCTTGGAAGACGCTATAGGTCAACCATTAATACATTGAGATACTTTAAACAGCAGCAATTCCTAAGCAACGTGGAAATACGTTTTCGGCATCCCTTTTTATGTCTAGCGGAATGTTATTATGTACGCTGCTGTACCAAACAATATCAAATCATCCATTTTCGAAATAAAAGTTCTGATATCATTAACAGCAGTTTACTCACATTTGACTGAAGGTCATGTTTTGAAAAGGTGAAAGTGGTTGAATAAGACTGAGAAATGGATGTCACTTTAACAGCAGCTCTTCTAAAATTGTAATAAATAAGACATAGATGAAGACAGTGGAAAAGCTACACTGTCCACATTTTAGCACAATAATTCTACTAAAGTATTCTCAGTCGCACAGATATGGACAGAGAGTGTTTAAATGATGGTTAAAAATGGCAGGTTTGACGGGAATGGTAGGAATAGTGATATAGTTAGCAAAACCTGCTCAGAAAATGGGTAGAAAATCTCCACAATCGGGCAGGTGGTAACAATGGTTAAATATTATGTAAGTAGTGATCAAAATAGTAGAATTTTGGTCGAAATGGGAAGTGGTCATAAAAAATGGGACCAATCTATTTTCGCAGAACGTGTACATAATTTGTTGACTATTCAACTGCTTTTAAATATTTTTCTCCGACTGGGATTTCTCCCTAAACTCACAATAATTTTAAACTAATTCTGACCAGTGCGCCGATAATTCCTTTCATGGTAAATGGATATTTTATCTAACTAAAAGTACCCACTATGTGCTGAAATGACTCCGGTCATTCTTGAAAAGACCACTGGACACTTAGTTTAGTAAACGACACCTTCAAAATAGGATTTGCAGGAGAAATAACACCTTTAGTGCTGAAATAAAGCTGAAAAATGTTCTAAAGTAATGTCAGTCAGTGCTGAATCTGGGCTGAGAGGACTGAAACAAGGAAGATTGCAAAACCCAGTAGCTTCTAAGCCACTTCTGAAAATGCCTAGAAAAACCGCAAGGTGCTGAAAACCAGAACTGAGTTCTAGTCTGTGCGCGTAAGCAAGCCATTTCAGAACAGTTGCGGAATTCGCTCATTATAGAATTTTAGAGTTAGTTCCGAACTAGCGAGATTTAATCCAGCATTATAGTAAGCTTAAGTGAGGCTGACTACATCGACTCACTTTTTTTAAGGATAAGATTTCATCGAAGCAATCTTCATGTAAATTAAGAGGCTTATTAATCTTGCTTTTGGTGAGATGTATGTCTTTAGGATAGTTATTAGATTCTTTAGTTGAATTAGCAATATTCATACGCCTTCCAGAAGAAGCCCTGACAAATGTATTCACAGTACCCCCATGCCCATCACGTCGATTCTGCGATGAAGCACTGCGTAAGGAATTTCTCCATGAAACACTATTTTCCATCAATTTAGGAGCAAACCTAAGGCATTTCCAAGGTTTTGTTGTACGCGGTATTTATATAGCTCATGGAGAGTAGCTCAACATCCCAAAGCTTCAATGGTCAAAATCCAATATCCAGTATCATTTTTACGAGCTAGTATAAACCATTTTGATTTCTTTGTGCTCGCCTTTTGATTGTGAGGTATAGGTTCCTGATCTTCGGTAAACCTCTGCGTAGCTCATCCCGCCACTCGACTGTCGTAGCTTTGGTTGACTCAAAAAAAGAGCTGTGTTGGGATTAATTATATGTGGTTTGTAGCATGAGGTGTGTTAAGACTGTTACCACTGTGAATAAAGTTGATCCTTTCACCAGTTAGTCCCCTGGTGTCGTCGTCAAAATAAAGAGATATTAATAATAATAACAGATATGAATGGTGAATTTATTCAGGCTGACAGACAGAAAGAGATTTCAGGATTTCATCATGAGCTGACATTAGTTAGAAAACCATTGGAAAACCTGGGAGTACTGGACAGCTGTTTCCCCTAGTTTGGAACTCTTCAGCAGTACGCACCCACCGGGATTCGAACCCAGGACCTTCCGGTTACAAGGCGAGCTCGTATACCATTAAGCCACTGGGACCCGATCCAATGATCCTTGAATTCTAACTTCTGCCAATTCACGACATAGCGCGACCGCTAGCCAATGTCTTCGGCGAGTATTTGTCCTCACACCCGACCAGCTGCACCCTACTGGTCACAGACAGAAAAAGAAATAAGAAAAGGTAATAACAGTCAGCTGATTGAATTTTAAGAATAATATGAATCATATATATCAGTTATAATGATAATAATAATAAGCGTAGTTAAAGTTGTCAAGACAGAAAGAAGGCAGAGAATGTAAAGAAGTAAAACGATTAACTTAGTTGTCTACCCCTTAATGGTATATGGGATTTTGAGGGGATAGGCCGTGTCAGTGTAGTTGAAGATTGAACGATCAATTCATGGTTGTTTGCTCAAAACCAACTTCCCCAATTTTCGCGCAGGCATCAATACGACAGTCATCGTCTCATCAGTCGCTGTTCAGAAAGAAGTGAGACCAAAACTGTCAGAAGTAATATTGTGATTTATTATTGTAATGTTTGTTCATAGACCTTAGTTAAAACTTAATTTAAAGCTGCCTATTTGTTGGTGTTACAATAAAGAATTCTCGAGTAACCAATCGGTGTTTTGGTTTTGCGTCCGTTATTACTAGGCGTTTCTGAGAAACTTCAAGGAACAGCGTGAGTCCCAGTGTAGCAAGAGCTGGGCATTAACGGTTTACGAGACGTGGCTGACAGGCCGTTTGGACGAGACCCTTGTGTCGCTGCATGATTGTCCATCCTTCGTTTAAAGGCGTTCACAGACAGTGCTATAGCTACGTCTTCCGGTAAGGAGTTCCAGGGAAGGTAAATCAGCAGTGAAATGAAGTGCAAGCGCATACAATTCTCGGCTCTGTGTTGAACTACAGTCATGGGGCGCCACAAGGAAGCCCATTCCTACTCGATGGCAGAACACCTATGTTTGGGTGATTCTGGTTATTTGTTATCTAGTAGGCAGTAATCACTTCCCCCTAAGCCTACGGTAGCCAAGTGTGAATATGCCTAATTTCTTTAGCCCTTCATCATACGGTTTATTTTGGAGACCTATCCCCCCTTTTGTCCTCATCTTTTGATTCTTTCCAAAAGGTTTGCGTCTCTTCTAAGTAGTGCGGGTGCAGTGATATTATGCACATCAAGGTATACTCGGGCGTATGTTTTGCACAGCCTCAGAACTCAGGAGTGAGTGCACCCAACTGTCTTTGTGTAAAGTGTATGACTTCATATGCAATTGCTACTCACGTTCTGCGGTCTACAAGAGCGTAGCTGCACCAATTTGCCATTTTTCAGGTTGAAAGTCATGCCATTGGCCAAAGCCCAGTATTCAAGAAGCTTTATATCCGCATGCAGCCTATAATAATAATGTATATTTTCATATAAACATAAATTTACATGAAAATGCATGCCATTTTTACAGGAACGATCAAGTCTTTCAAACAGTTTATTGCCCTCTATATCTATACGTTGTTCGCGTATATAAGGGTCGGTCAGCTTAGACGGCAAGGTAGGTCACTGATAAAAATCAAGACATCACTGGTCCTAAGATAGAGCCCTGCGACACTCCTGATAATGAGCCGTGACAAGGCCATTGGATACGACTGACCTCAGTGCAAAATTTCCTTTCGTCTAAGGAGTCCTCCAACAATGACAGAAGCGGCTTACCTACACTTGCGTGACGTATTTTGTGTGAGAGAAGGTCATGGTGAACTGTGTCAAATGCCTTCCCAAAATCAAGGATGATTACACAAACTGGAATATTCGTATCCCAGTATGATGTCCAATCGTCCCAAGTTGATAGTAGGTTTGTTACACAGGGTATATCTCCCATGCAACCGTGTTGTGACTTATGGAGTCTATTAGTCCCATAGAGGTGTTCTCTGATGCGACCATCAATTATTATTATTATATTATTATTATCGCTCCCTTGGGTTCCGAGTGGAACATAGGGCTTCAAGCGCACGTCTTTACTTGCTTCTGTCTTCTGCTGTACTTTTCACCTGCATCCATGTTAGTTCATGCTGTTTCAACTCCTCTTCACACCATCTCCTCCATGTCATCCTTGCACTCACGTCCCACTCGCCGCTTCCCTTTCGGCCTGGTTCCACTCGAACAATGGCCTGACGCTCACGCGATGTCACCCAGCGGCCTCCTCAGCGAGTGTCCAATCCATCTCCACTTTCTCCTGCATATTTGTTGGTTGGCGATTGGTTCTTGTTTTGTTTCTTCCTTCACAAAGTTTCTTGTTGGTGATTCTTCCCGGCCCGGCCTTCTGATCTTCAGTATAGAGCCAGCGAAGACAGTTGTTGATGGAGGTCTGCAACAGGCTGTTGGAAATATTCTTTGTGACCCGCCGCCAAGTTTCTGATCCATATAGAAGAACTGACTGATTTGACGTTTGTATTGAAAATCCGACCGAAATTTGTTGTTGATACTGGCTGGGTGACGAAGATTTCCAGATTGGTTTCAGGTTGATGAATGTGTTTCTCGCCTTCCCGATTCCCGCTCGATTTGACATCCTCGTCCGTTCCTCATGTAGTTGAGACAATGCTCCCTAGATAAGTGAGTGAAGTAACCTCTTTCAAATCCCTCCCGTTTATGGTGATTGGCGCTGGATGTTGCTTCTGTTGTTGTTGTTGCTGCTGGCTGGTTATTTTCATAACCTCCGTCTTGTCTATGTTCACTTGGAATCCTGTCTTCGCCGGCTGCTTCTTCGACCAGTTCGTCGGTCGGTTTTCGCTTGTAAGTCTTCGATTTTGTGTGACATCAGACATAAATCATCGCCGCGCGAAATCCAGGTCTTCTAGGTTCTTCACGTCGGTCCAGGATATTTCTGTCTTCTCATTTCCCACTATCTAACGCATAATCCAGTCAGTTCACCACAATTAGTAATATCATTGGTGATAGATAATAAGCACCCTTGTCTCACTCCTGTGTTTACTCCAAACGCCTCGCTGAGTTTTCCGTTATGGATGACTTGACATGTGCCGTTGTCGTACAGCTGTTGAATAAGGTTGATGAATATTTGGGGAACGCCGTAGTTCTCGAGTAGATTCCAAATTACTTGGGGGTCAACGCTGTCTGTCGAAGGCCTTCTCAAAGTCTATAAAGTTGAGGTAGAGGTTTGATTGCCATTCCATGCTTTGTTCTGTGATGATGATTCGTAGAGTTGCAATTTGGTCAGAACATGACTTGCCTTTCATGAATCCAGCTTGTTCTGGTCGGAGTTCTGTCTCCAGTGCGTCCTTCATTCTCTCCAGGATAATACGAATCAGGATTTTACTTGGCGCCGACAGGGGCATGATTCCTAGCCAGTTCTTGCAGAGAGAGGCGTAAGTCGCCCTTCTTTGTTAGTTTCACAAGGTAATCCTTCCTCCAGTCAGTAGGCACCTTTCCCTCCTTCCAGACCTTTTGCATTAATGGAGTCAGCATATATGCTCTCGTCTCTGGGTCCGCTTTCAGTGCTTCAGGGGGTATTCCATCTTGTCCAGCTGCTTTCCCAGCTTTCAGAAGCTTGATTGCATTCAAGACTTCAACTTTCATTGGAGGATTGGTGTCAACTTGCAGTTGTGTGCGCGCTGTTGTTGGTATTTCTGGATGGATTGCATGTGGTGGTCGGTTCAAAAGTCCTTTGAAGTGATCCGCCCATTGTTTAATCTGTCTTTCTTCCTTGGTAATTGGGTTCCCTTAGCTGTCTTTTATAGGTTTCGCTTGTGTTGATCTCTTCCCGGATAGAGACTTGGTTATCTGATATAATGTCCTCAGTTCTCTTTAGCCTGCTGCCTTCTCAGCTTCAGTGGCCAGGTTGTCGTAGAATTGTCTTTTGTCCTTCCTAGCACTCTTCTTCACTTCTCTGTCCAATGCTGTGTAGGTTGAGCTCAGCGTCTCCTTCTCCTGTCCGTCTTTGCATTGAATCATTTTCTCTTTCACCATTCTCCTCTCCTCTATTAGCGTCCAAGTGTTCGTTGAGAGCCATTCTTTGTCTTGTCTCTTCTTTCTTCCTAAAATCGTTGAACATGTTTCGTTGGAAATCATCTTCAGAGAGTTCCAGTAGTCTTCCACGCATGATTCTTCAGTGATGTCACGTAGTGATTCCTGCTTTGCTCTGACAGTTGCAGTGAAAGTGTCGTTTGTGGTTGTGTCATTTACTTTCTTGAAATTGAGATGAAGTCATCAATAATACTCTCTAATACTTTTTAAATCACTAGGAGTAGTGGTATTGGTATATAACTGGTGGCATTTCGCCTCCTCCTCCTCTTCTTTCAATCCCCTGGTGACTTCCCTGAATCAATTTTGTGCTGGAAAAGGTAACTAGTATCACAAAAGAGTTTATATGGAGAGTAGCCATCAGGTTTTCTTTCGGTAAAAATAGTAGTGCAGCCATTTTGTCCT